AAATAAAACAAATATTTAAAGTCGCTTATTTGGGATAGTTAATAGCTATTTCATTCAAGCTGAAAAGCAAGTTCAGATGTCATTCTGAAGATCACGTCTTCTTTGAATTCGTACTTATTTGACAACATTTTTCTCCAATTTAGCCGCTTTCAAGCGCAATAGCATTCAATGAACTCCACAGCCCTCAATCGGGCTTCGCATCAAATCAAGATGCTAATGAATGGGTGGAATCTCAAGGAGGACGAATTCAACCCTCCTTGCCGAGACAAAAGATAGACGAAGCATCGGCAAATCTCGACGCTACCACTACTACCACCACAGTGGAGGAAAGTACCTTGAATTCCGTCGTGAGCATTGCATGCACAACGCCGACTTATGGACAGGCCCGACAGTCACCAATAGCGCGAGAAAGCGGTGCTACAGACACACCGGCGCGTCCGGACACACCGCGTGTCGGTGTGACGGACATACCGAGAGAGACAGGCTATCGATTGGTAGGCGGTGGAAGGGTGAAGCCAATGGCGTATGGAGAGGCGCACGAGGTGGAGGGAGTGGAAGACTCAAGCCACGGATGCAGCAGGAACGAGAACTCAAGCTCTGCTCATCGACCCAAGGTCGTGTCTCCCCCACCGCCTCATCCTCCACCCGCCCCTCTACCTCTCTCTCCCCCTCCCTCCTCTACCACCCACTACCCAACTGGGGAAGGGTGTAATGTTCTCTTGTTGCCAAAAGCACTAGTTCACCACTCCTCGCGTCTTCCACAACAGTTGCAACAGCAGCAAACAGAGGCGGTTACATTATCAGGCGAGGAGGAACCGTTAAGCCTCATCACCGAAGCCGTCCGTTCTCAGTCTGTGGACCATTTACCTCTCCTACTTTTGGAAAGTCCCTCATCTCCAGAAGTCCAGAGTACTCAATCGCGAACTATTGGAAGCTGTCTGTGGAGTGCTCTGTGTAAGAACAAGTCTAGACAGTTTGACAGAGCCATCCGAACCCTTACTGCTAGCAGTGAAGGCTCTACATCGTTTCTGGAGTCAACGGATGCCCTACTTTCACTGCTCAAATCTGAGACAGAACCAACTGAAGTGCAACACAGAGTGGTGGCAAAAACTCGTCGTCTACACTTGACGCAGATCTGTAATACCACTATCGAAGAACGGGAGGAGCAATGTTCCTTTCTTCCACCTTCTGAAAGAGAGCGGCGCTTTGAATTCACTACAGCTCAGCATTTGTTTTCCAGCTTGACCTACGAGAATCCCCTACTCGTCAGTATGACTTCGGCATTGAGAGGCAAAAGAAGTCAATCGTATATTGCGCGGAGTGAGTTTGATACGTCCTATGCAAGACAGCAACAACAACAACAACAACAGCAACATGCACAGTTACGTCTGCCAGATGTACCACCTCATGGGACTTCCGCCAACCACAGGAAGCATAGGAGTTTTACGCTCTCTTCAATGCCTCACACTGCGACTACCTCGCAGAGGTACGGTGAAAACGACATGTGTTTTGCATCAATGTGGAGTCCCCCTCTGGATAAATCCATTTCAGCTGGTTTATCGCCCAAACATGCAAGAATAAAGTCGAGTCAGTATAGCTCTCGTCCCCTTGCTAGCAAAGACAACTTCACGTTGTCGTCGTCAGGATTCACATCGCACCGGAGTGCTCCGAATGGCAGTTATCAACGTGTTAATCGATATTCTGGAAGTATGCTAGATGAGTATGGAAGCGGTGACTCTGGAGGATCGAATAGCAGCTATCGGAAACGGTTTATAGATCAAAGGAAGTCAACTAAGACGCCCAGTTCGGCCAGAATGTCTGGAGATGCATCAATAATGCGATTAGGATATGATACAGCCCTGGCTAATAGATCCTCCACGCTGCCGTACAAGCGTCGTGGCAGCTGGCACGTTGATCGAGAGGCAAATTTTTCCACTCTAGATTGGAACACTTCACGGAATCTATGGAGCAAATCTCGCTGGCGTAGTTTCAGTCCTGAACGTCTGGCCCTCGAAACCTCGCATGATACTGGTCCTCCTCCACTTTCCTCGGAGAGCAGAAGTCTTCGATCGCAAAGTCTTCACAGGAAGCATCTCCTAGAATTGACCAAATCAACGGAACAACTTTCGACAGGATTTCTAGACAACTACAAGGGTATAGAGACCTCTTTCAACACATTGCGAGCCAAGCTTGACGCCGCCTCGACTGATCGATTGTATGGACGTGATGCTACAGCGGAGCAGCTTCGACGCCAATGTAAACGTGAGCATCGACGTCTTTTGAAGAGTTTAATGTCGGATAGTTGGGAGAAGGGAATCGAGAGGCAACCCAATCCTCCACCCCAGTATTTCAATCAGGCACCAGGAGTAGTTCTTCCTGTTCAGGAAGCTACTCTCCTCACGGCTCCACGTACAACTAACCCTCTAACCAATCCTAATTTGGAAAAACTCTTAAGGAATCCGACATTGATGCAACTGCTTGCAAACCACGCATCTCAGGCCCATCAGACACCAGATCAAAATAGTTTGGCCGATCAAGTAACTCTGGCAGCGGTAGCAGGCGCAGCTGCGGCTACTGCAATGGCGAATTTCGCAACTCCAAGCACTGAACAACCCTCCTACTCCAATCTTCCAGTCCAAACAACTTCCACTGGAGACGAGTACGACTGGAATGATCCAGAGACGCTGATGGCAGCCTACACTGCTCTAGCTGAAGCTAGTGGTGGAGAGAAAGCCTTCTTAGAGCAACTCTCTCCAGAATTAGCCGCCACTCTGGTCCACTATCGGGAACAGCTGTCGGAGAAGCTGTCGGCTGGGGAAAGCGGAAGCGGTGGAAAGGTGAATTCTGTGACTTCAGCTGTAACTACAACAACAGCAACGCCGACAACGTCTGTACCATCTGCGGCGATGATGACCCCAAGCAGTGGAGCTGTCTACAAAGGTGGTGGTGGAAGCCAATCAGCTGTTGTGTTGGAAGACGTCTCACGACAGCCCGGAATGGACAAGGAGACGATTGGTGCGAATTTCATCTATTTAATGGATAAGATTTAGTCGAAACTTATAACATTTTGTGGCAAAATTCAGATATTTGAAAAATACGGAAATATTGACACCGATTTTAATAGACAGTTCTGTCACGAATCCCCTTAAATTCTTTTCAGTGGACCTATATTAGTAAGTCGTCCTGATTATGCAAGCAATGATTTATTTTTTAAAGAAATTGCTATACAGACTTTGGGAATTTTCCTAATAATTTCCGTAAGGTAAGATACTTCATTGCTAAGGCAATCACGCAGCACTTTCATAGAGGAGTGTCACAATCTCGGCTAATAATCTAAAAGTTTGCCTTTTGTTTGGTCAAACTACAGCAGCGTCATCATTTTTCATAAAAAAAATAACTTGAGCGATTCAGGAAAATTATTAGCTAGAATGAAGCAAATTCTCTTCTCGTCTTCTACTTAAATGTGCATGACTGGAATAAGTAGTCATGCCATGTGGAGCCCTGTGAGAAATTTACTTAACTTCTTAAAGGGGAATGGGTGTAAGTAAGCCTTAATCTTCTACAAATTGAAGTCAATTGTGCCTCTCGCTGTTGCTCTTCATCAATAATGCAAGATAAATTTTAAAAGTCAAACTCATTTTCCTTCCGATTTACTATGAGTGAACCCACTTTTTTCATTCTGAAATTTTGAAACAAGAAAAGTTCAAGAAATGGCTTGTCAAATTTCCCCAAAAAAGGAGCAGACAACACCAAAAATTCTTTAAAATAGATGCATAAATCAGCTTGCAGCTCATTGGTCGAATTTCGCGGAAGGTGAGCTTGCGTAATTCTGATTGGCCAACCTTGAGGCCGAGCGACCACTGCCTTTCATTTGTTGCTTAGGCAAGAAAGAAGCCTTAAGTTTTTCTTTAGTAGAACCGAAAATGGGTGTTCTGTTGTAAGATTGTAATATTGAAGGGCACGCCTCCCTTTTCGTGCTTTGTGATAAAGACGCTGCCATTTATGTGGTTGTACGTATTTGTTAGTTCGAACAGTGGTGGTGAATTAGGTAACAACTCATCTGATGTCAGGGTTTTAGTACATTTGCTACTAGCGTTCGTCTCAGAGGATGATCGGGTGTCATAGGAGAGATGTTTCATTGTTCTGATATGAATTCGACTGGCACAAGGTTTTATGAACCATTTTTAGGGACCAAAAAGAAATTTAGCCACTGGCAAACCCATAGCACCTGACAGCAATTAAGCTCATCTGCTTAGTACAAGGATTTGACGCAACCGGCAGCTATCCTAAATCGATAACGTGCCCAGCGTCACGAATACGTGACGCAGGGCCCAGGTAAGAAAGTCGAGGCATCGCACATGTACGAGGGTGTTTGCAAAGGTGTCAGTGATTAGGTTGTGAAAAGCAAGTAAAAACAGAGATGAATTCGAGTGAATTACATCTAATAATTTGGAAAAATGCTTTAGTAGATTATATACCCGTGCGTACAAGCATGCCTGTACCTATTTGAGACCAGCTGTGATGTAATGATAAAGATTTGTTGTTTTCAATTTACATTAAATAGGGAAATTAGCTGCCAACTGTTTTTTTCAGAAATATTTCGATCGGGCTAGTGCTTTGGCTTCAAAGCCAGACTGAAAATATAGAAGTGGTAATGCAAGACCTCGTCTAATGGATCTCAGTGTTGAGAAAAGCAAACGTTTCACCAGATAAAAATGCATGCCTTGTTTTAAATTCATTTGCCAAATAATGCCTATTTACATAATGAATATCAAAATACTTCCTTTTCGTAACTGATTTGGTCTATTTTGGACATTGAACCTGGTCTCATTGAAAACAAAGCCCTCAGCTTAAACATTGCCAGCAACATTCCAAAAGCACAGGAAGAAAATTTGGCAAGAAAACAACTAACGCTAGACATTTTCAAACCCTTAGTTCCCAGTGGACGAATAAAACTCTCTAACGCTTCCTTGAATGATGCGGCATCGAGAATTCGTGGAATGAATAGGGTATGCTAGTGATTTTTTCGCCATGCTTCTCACATACTTTTAGGTTGGAAAAATATCTCACCTCTCGCTTTCTCCTCGTTTGCTTTAGAATTCCGACTCAACTCCCACGAAGTTGTTGAGAAGGACGTACGATTTTCCCACCAAACGACTTCTTTTGATGCGCAGTTCAAAGGGTCGAAACATGGGTGGTGAGAAGCGCTATACGCCATAACTTTATACCATTTTTGGCTAGTGGCCTATTTTCGGAAATGGGTGGGTCCAAATTTCATGCTGAGAGGGTAATTTAACGCTTCCTTTCATCACGTTTAGGCAATGGATTTGGTCTCGAAATTGTGGGCGGAAGGCAACGATCTGACGGTCGATTAGGCAGCTACGTGGAGCAGATTCACTCGGGCGAAACACTGGGGTATCTTCATGGGGAAATCTCAGAAGGTTCGGAAATGACCATTTGCCTACCTAAATCATGAGGTTTGACGTCAGGCATACCAATCACAGCAGAACCAAATCATAACTTAGTGTAGGCCGGACGCCTATATAGTCAGTTAAAAGCAGGTATCATTAGAAGTTTGACGGACACAGGTTCCTAGTTTGAGGAGGTTCTCAGTTTCTGCAATGAACTGGGAACTGTGGTAGTTGTAGGTCCTATAAAGCTGCCGACTTCTTTGCTTTTTTGAAAATTACTCTTAAATTTTCCCACTTATGTCTACAAAAGCAGTTGGTTTTACAGGAACAAAATTTTTAAACTCCTTTTCAGCAGTTAGTTCTACTGTACAATTTGCCCTTAATTTCGTTGTTTTCATTTGCATGAAATTCTCGCAAGTTTTTCGGTCTTCTGTGGTACTGTGCTCGTGCGTTATTGAAAAGACATTTAATAACATGTTTTATGCTAGGTGATGAAGTAATAGAATGGAATGGAATTCCGCTGATTGGAAAAGGGGCGGCCGAAGTTCAGGCGATCGTTGACACTCCGGCAGATGAGGTTGAACTCCTGGTAAGAATGTAAGTTGACTTTTCACTTTACCACAGTCACCTTTTCCAGCAACACTTGCCAGCTTATTGAGACTGAAAGGGTGCCTTTTCCAAAAATAGCTGACAAAAAGACCAAAGTGACTTGTTATATTTTCTTAAGATATTGCATTAAAACTTAAGATTACCAGTATACTCTTTTATGGTTCTTCAGGTAAAAGGTAAAATGTCTGACCCAAGCAGTGCGTAGGGGGAATGATTATAAACATAATTTTTTGCAGTTAGCCCCATTTAATGTTGACAGCAATTTGGACTTGGAAATTGGTGATCAATATGCAGGTTCTGTCGACTATCGATAAATACGGGGGTGTGGTTCGTTTGATCAATAAAGAAATATGACCAGTGATTTACTAGCTACCTTCCAAAAAGGCATATTTTCAGCGCATATTATTAGTTCTGGCTGACAAAGACCTTTTTGGTAGGATTGCAACCTCTAACCTTGCAGTTCGGTGCGAAGGCTTTTGCGTATAAATGGTGCCTTATTTGGGCACAATTTTGTGCATTATCTGGTGCACAAGGGAAGCAATCTGCTAAGTACTTTCCGCAAGTGGCCAGGTGGTAGGCAAGGGGAAATTGGTTGCCTACAGTGAGTGGCATTGAGTGATCGAGACAGGGTCGAGTATACCATTATTCATCTTACAAACATCCGCTCTGTGTAGCTGCAGCCGTTGGAGCTGGCGTAAACACCAGATCAAGGCCTAGCTTTTGTCGAAACTGTTTAAAAAAAATAAGGTTTACGTATCTCCAATTGTTACGACCTAAATTAATTCAGTTTCAATTTGAAATTGGAATTCGGGTTTATTCAAACTATTCAACCAATTTTTTCCCTTTAAAAAAGATTGGTGTCATTGGATAACGATGAGAAAGCTCAGGAGTTAAAGAAGTTTCTTCATGTTTTTCTCCTAGCAATCCTTCGGAAACGCTAGCCTCACATCGATATCCTCAGGAATTCCTCCAACATACGTGCTCTCGCCGAAGCCCTTGTAGTAAGTCAGATCTCAAAGACCACATTGGCTTCAGAATGTATGGCGTTTTGTCCTAGGTGATTACAGTGCATCAAGCAACAAAGCGTATTCATTAATGAAATGGAAGTTTTAAAGTAACACACTGCACTGTTAAATCATAAACCTACCGTTTTATTGTTCTCCCAGTGCTTTATAATTGTGTGCTTATTTGATACTTGACCCTTTATTGCAATTTGACTCCACTTTGCGACAGTATTCACTTACTGTATTTTTGATTTACAAGACCTGGTCTTCTAACTGATAACCAAAGTCCAGGGTCATTAAGAATTCAGGTAATACCGCTTGATGGCGACAGTAAGTAACAGAGAGCAGGACTTCCTCCAAAAACTGTTCAGTTTTTTGTTTGTTTAAATTGTGAAAGTTGACAACTAAACTAGTCTAGTTCTTGTGCAGGTGATCTACAAGGTTAGTGCGGCGTTCGGTATACTTAGCTGCAATCACTCAAAGCTTGTAGGGCCTTGTCATGTTTGAGGTTGCTTTTACGTAATAATGGCGGGTGTGCCAACCCTCTCTTACGGTACCTCCGGGTACTTCTTGGAATCCTCATATCATGAAATGTCTCTTGAAGCTGGTAGGTTTGACTCGGCCAAGTCAAATGGACAAATTTAGATGAAGTTTCGAAGTAGCGGAAGCTAGCTTCTTGTCATGCATTTTGTAGGCCATTCGGAGAAGAATTGGTAGCACAAAGTACCACCCAGAAATTGTTTAAAAAGCCCGGGTTTTGGTTTTTATTTATCGCTGAGAAGTTGTGTTATGCTCAACCCATAAATCCTACTTGAGCAAATATAGTTGTCTCATACTTCAACGCTTGACTCTTCAGGTTGCGAAATGCTTATTAGGATTGTTAAAAGTAAACATTATTGAAATTTTTGCTTGGTGGGTTTTAGAATCAGCAATATATTTGGATGGCTTTTTTCTGCTCCCTCTCAGCTGCCGATGCTCACCGCTACCCCCCCAAACTCTGTCCTTCGCACAACCCTAATCCTCACTTCCACGAAAGCCTTCATGGTAGTGGCGGTGGAGGCGGCAGCTGTGTGCATCAACAGCACATCTGCCAGCAGTCTCAACAATCACCTCGTGGACCTCCCATCCACACCTGTGAGGTCCATCCCACGGGGCCCGCGTGTATTCATAAGCAGCAACAGCACATGTGCCGTTCGGGCGACTGGTCGTCAGATCCCCGTGGCACCTGTCCATCACGAGGCGTGATCGATCAACCTCCACCGAACTCGCCGCAGTCGGAGCGAAATATCAGTGAGACGTCGGCCAGTCCCTCCACACGGACTGGAAGTGTCCACCATCACCAGCGGCAGGTGGTACCCACAGTTAATGTTGCAGAGTACGATGGTGGTGGACGAGAAGCGCCGGACGCTGTATCGCATAGCAGTGGTGGGCCGATTGTAAGTTAAGGTGATGTTTACAGTAGTATTTGCAAAATATTTTCATTAGCATAACAAATCTTTGTGAAATCTACAATCCCTTGCAAAAAAAGTTATTTTAAGTAATTAACATGCCCGCTATCATCATCACGCCGGTTATCATGCCTGAGCCACCACTTTAATTGGAGAAATGAATCAAAACATAAAAGAAAAGCAAAGTTAGAACAATTTGTCGAATAATGGCTTGATAAAATCCCTTGGTAATGGTGGTCTCTTTTTCTATGGGAGAAACCTTAGTAGCGGAGGCGTTAGATTCCTTCAATAGAAGGGGAGAAAGACATTCAATTGATTGTCCAAAACCCTTACGTACGGGATGCGTCATCACCTCCTCAACTTAACGAAAAAATAAATTATTACCCAACTTTGGTATAACACGAAATGTTTCGGGTTCTGCCGGCAAGAGAATGTTTTGAAGTGAACAGGTTTGCTATCAGCGTCATTTATTCGCAACGTCCAATTTACTCACTCCTCAAGAAGATGTGTTGCATGCGTTGGTCGTCAATCTATGATAGGTGGGTACGACAAATCATGTCACAAACAGATTGATTGAGTGTAGAGCAGTAAAAATGACAAAGAACGCTGTTGGTGTGAGGGAAATTAACCTTTTCTAATCTTTGAGCAGCTTTTGAATTGATCTACCCAGTAGTTTTAATGTTAGCGTAAGGCGGTAGAACAACGAAATATTTGAATTGTGATGGTCGACTCTCCTCTGGGGCACTGATGGTGCCTGAGTTAACCGAAATATCGAAGTTTGTTTAGGGAGTCGGTCAGCTTTATTCCCCCCACCTCCACATTCCAACTGGGAGTTGATTAAATCCATTGGTAAATTCTTATCGATAGTGTTCTGAAGGAACTAGACGGCGACCTAAACAAGCATTTTTCGTCTGGTCATCCCAAATTTAAAGTCACTTATTTGTTCACACAAGTGAGATACCCCGAATTTTCTGTGGTAAAGGGGAGAACTTTAACTTATTTTTGGGCACTTTATTTCAAGGCTTCAATCTCTCTAAACCGTTTACTTTAAAATTCTTTAAACCATTATTAATTTTCAAGTTGTTGGTCCTGTACTTTTAAAACAAATAGGTACAAACTGATGGGGTTATTAGTTTGAGTGTTTTCACGTCCGAGACGGCTTAAACCTTACTGCAGTAGCGCTATACTGCTTAAAATTGTGAGAGTAAGTGTACCAAAAAGTCTGCATGTTACCACCTGAGTTTACTTTTTCTCCAAAAGCAGAGAGTAGTAAATTGCACTTTTTTTACGGCTTTTAAAAATTTAGCACGGAAGGAATTTGTCTCTTGCGACTTTGGTACAGTAAAATACTCTGCTCTCATGGATTATAAATATATCATTTGAAACAGCTTTCTAATTTTGAGAAGACTGTAGCTTAGTTCAAAAAAGGAAATTGGTTTCTCATAACTGCAACATTTGAGGTGGACAGTCTGTTGCCCCCAGAATTAACCAATCAAGTATCTGATCAATCTCTGCTCTCCAGTTGTCCACCAATAGGAGACAAGAATCTCTATGTGGATTTGGTGTTTCAAAAAAGTCTTTGGCAAGTCAATTTTATTTGTAAATACCACTCTGATTATTTTAAATTTCAACTTTCAGAATGGCGATGGGCACCTTGTGACTGATGAAGGCGTCACCCCATCGTTTGGTGAAATTGAAGTAAGCTGTGCTCCTCCTAGGCACTTTTCAAGTAAACGATCCCGTTTGGTTTCACCGACATGTCGTTGTAATACATTACAAACTTTTATAACTGAATCAAGCAATTTGCTTACTACCATGTTTTGGGGAAGTAAATTTATCTGGTATATACGACAGTTGGTTACATGGGATTATATAATAAGGAATGAAACGTAAATTGGGTCTTTAATGCCTCGAAAAGCTGGGAACTTTTTTGAAACTAACGAAATTTATATTTTGCGTTTAAAGGTAATTAACATACCAATATCATATTAGGAAAATCGGTCACTCAATTCGATTTTTACTGTATTTTATTAAAGACCGAAAATTGTTGAAGAACATTCCGTCTCATCACTCCTCTTATCCTCCAACTGCAATTTTAGTTGATCCTAACCTTCGATGACTACGATCAAAGCCTGACGGCACACGTAGCAAGGGCCCGAGGTCTTCGGCCAATGGACCTCAACGGTCTAGCTGATCCATTCGTCAAACTGCGACTTCATCCAGATCCCACAGAAGAGTATGTTATACTGCTTTTAGAAAGCTATATACACATCCCAGTGTTTATTATCTATCTGTGCAGTTTAATGGCCCTGCGTGGCCAGCAAAATGCCGGCTAATTTAAAAAAAACACTTTTCCTTAACTAGGTATTCTTATTGTTGACGACTTGATATGTTGTTGCTTGGACATTAAGAAACAGGAGTTTTAGCACTTCTTAATGGAACAAAGGCAGCATAAAACTTTAACGCAGTTGATGAGGAACAAAGTCCAATGGAAGATTTTTTTGAGTAATGCTTAACTCCTTCACAGTATACTCCATATTTACTCTTGTAATTACCTTTTTTCGTTCTTTTTTAAGGGTCTTATCATTGGCAACTGAAATCCCCAAAGCACACTTGGGTTAATCCCCTCCTTTTAATACTTTTTGTAATCCATTTAAGCATATTTCCAAGGTGCAAATATGGGTAGATTTTGAAAAAAGTTAATAGGACAAAACTCCTCCTTACTTAGTATCCCTGCTATTTTTAAGAATGTTTTCCTCCTGGAGGAGGCCGAATTCCCCACCCCAAACCGAGTGGAAGTCGTTTTCCCGTCCATCAATGGTTGAGTGATCTTTTGATTACGTTTTGATACGCAAAGTCATCTGGTGGTCTCAGATTCACTGAAAGCTTCGTATAAATAATGAATCTGATGGATTTATTTAGCTGCTTACATTTTGTAGGATCATGCGTTAATTTAATTCGTAGTTGTTAATTTTCAACGCTCCATCCTTCTGCTCCTCAGACAGGCGAGTATTAAGTCGAGCAGTAACGAAGGAAATTGAGTTAGGCCTACAAACTGCCATTAGTGTTGACCCTATGCTTCCCCTTTTCCTTTTAGCGTGGATTTGAATAGACAGATCAAGTATATTCCAAATACCCTCGAGCCCGAATGGCAGCAGACAGTAGTTTTCATGAATTGCCTCAAGCGGACCCTCAAGAAACGTGTTCTTGAGGCCACTGTGTGGGATTTCGACCGGCTTAAAATGAATGATTTCATGGGACAGGCAATCATTCATTTGGGATGTGAGTTTATTTTTTTCGTTCATGCCTGGCGTCTAGTTTTTTGGCCGGACTAAAAAGTGCAAATTAGTCTTACATAGTTTTTCCTTCTCCTTCAATTTGCCAAACAATCCAGCATAATCACTTCACAGGGAATTTCGTAAAGACTGCTTGAACTGCTTAATCTGGCTATGAGGAGTTCTGGCGATTTTGTTGCCTTTTTCACCTCAGTGGAGAAGGGAAATTGCAGTTTTGTCCGAGTCGGTTGATGAAGCCGTATAGTTATAAATACTAATTATTGCCATTTCATCTACAATCAAAAACCTTGGCAACCAATTATATTTTTCCTTTTTCTTCCTTATTCTTGATCAGAAAATTTCCGACTATAGTATTTAAACTGGACTTGCAAGCAAGACATAGCTTTGAAAGGTTGAGGGGGCTTTGGGTTTTTTTGTTCCCAATTACCTAGAGAAATTCCATACCTCATTTCTTTGCAATTTGAGCAGTCTAGCATTACCGGGACATTGAGGAGAAAACCATTTTGTTTTGATAAAGACGTCCAATGTTAACGAAGCAAGTAAGAAAAAACCATTGTGTGTATAGAGTTTGGCGTCACGGATGCATAAAACTTATTTAACGGCGGTTTAAACGACAACATAAGCGACTATGATCATTTCGATGGAATTTTTTTTTGAATCAAATATAGCAAAAGAGGCTTTGGATGGTCAACCGCATTGGTACAAGTTGCACGCACTTCAGGACATCGTGATTCCGGGATATCGTCAGCCTGGTACAAGATCCGTTGCTCCTCCCATTTCTCAAAGTGATCAGGTCAAGACTATCAAGGTATTGCTGCTTTTTACTGCTCAGTGGTGCAGTCTTTTTAGGATAAATTTGATTGAATGATTTTCAGGGGTGATTTTAGTTGGTGTAAGGGTGAAATTAATCCCTTGAAAATATCAGATGAACGTTACGAAAATGCTGGAGGGTCGGAACTGTATTATCACCTTGTAAATGAGAAGGTTTTGTATTTTGATCCTTCAAAAGGATCTAGGTGCCACTTATTGGTACATGAAGTAAATGCACAGCGCCCTGATTCTATTTCAAAGCCGTAAGATGCCAAGTTATAGTGGCAGAACACATTGCTAACCTACGGAAGGAATGGAAGGCCCGGCAGTCGTAGCGCTGAGTGGAGGTGAACCCCGAGGCGATCGAAGTGCCCCCGTGGTCCGACATTTAGACAAGGTGGTATCCCAGTAGAAATCCAGGCCATTGTTATGTAATAACTCAAGTATGAAGAAACTTAAAAGAATTATTAAAACTTTTGACGAGTGTGACCGCTTTATCTCCTACTTACTTTTTCATTTTAGCTTGTGAAAGAGATCAAAGCTCCTCAAACAAAGAATATCCAGAAAGGTGGGTCTTCTAGGGTATTAGCTCCATTTTTACGGGCGTATGCTTCTTTTGTGGGAAGGAAAAAGTTTTTATAGTGCTGCAAAGTAACCAGCGATCTTCATAAATTCTCTTTTTTTTAATAAGAGCCGAGTTGCGGAAAGCGCATTGAGAAATTCACTTTTATGAGACATTAGGTGTCTGAAAACAAACAATGAAGTCCTAGGCACCTCAATTTCTCCCACTGCAAAGAAAAGGTGGCAAACAGTGGAGGCAGTATTGCCTTCCTATCTCCGTTTCTGTTGGACATCTTTGAGGCATATTTGGTAGATCTTAGTAGTAAGGGTTTGGTCTGTAGTACGTTAGCAATTTCCAGCAAACCGTTGCGTGCGGAGTCTCCTGCATACGCAAAAGAAGTAAATGCCCTCCTTTGAGGGTGAAGTCGTGAGTGTCGGGAGTTGGGAGTCGTTTGCCTAACGTCATAGCATAGTCAGTCGGCCAGTCAGCAACTTAAAATGCTCCCGAGGCACAAACTGATAGCCTTGCAAGCTCCTGCCATTCACTGACACATTGTATGTGGCATCCGTTAGCCTGTCTTCCACCGTTTTTTTCAATCGGTTCATTTTCGCCCACTTTAAATCCTAATCTCCGGTCGCGCTAGACAATAGCAACACATAATTTTCCATTATTATCAAGATCGTGATGCCTCATCATCATATGGTGATTCAGCATTAGCAGTTAAACCTTTAGAGAGCCTCTGGGGGTTGCATTCTGCCGTCACGCATTCTTTCAACACGATGAAAAAACCAGCCTTTGGAGGTTTTTGAACCAAGCTAACTTCCATTTATGAAGTAGATGATTTCAAAACACATTCATTGTTGAGGTCATGGCTCCTCGTTTGCCCTCCTCTTTCCCAGGTCCAATTGTAGATCCACTTTGTTATTTTTCTTATTTAAACAATAGAAAAAAATCTGTCACAACGAAAAATTTTCGTGTTTCTTTTTGCTTGTTCTCGTGCCACTGTTAATTAGGCTTCACAGACAACTTCAAATCACGGTAGCGGAATTTTCTCCACCATGTCTCATTTCTCATTTATTTTATCTTGCAACCTCTAATTGAAGCAGAGGATGAAAAAAAAACGTTTTATTGCAAATTTTAGGTCGAAGTCACTAGCAAATGGGCAAGGAAGTGAGTCACTTTTGGGCGGATTTTTTTAGTTGGTAAAGCGGAAGGAAAAGACATCGCATATCTGTGCACATACATAAATGTAGTTGACGAGAAAAGGTCGTTTTTTTTCCTCCCTTCATCTCTCTCCATTTTAGATCAACTGCGCTCTTGTAAGATAGCTTAGTCGCACCGATTGACTGCATTCGCACTGCGCCATCATCTCTCCAACTAACACCGCATTATGTGGTCATCAGATTTGTAAATACGCGTCCCTTCTCCTCCTCCCGCCTGGGTAGAATTTACGCTCCCCTCTTCCTCCGACCGGTATTTGTAATTGCCGTATTGTGTATCTACTACTACTTTCACCATCCCTTCTCAGCCCTGAGTAAATACCGGGACTTCGAGTTCAGCCCCTTCATTGTATTTAAAGTACTCCCCGTATAACTACGAGGCTGGAAAAGGAGGCTTGAAAGTAGGAAAAGCTATTTGATTATCTTTTGACCCTCACCTCCTTGAAGGCGGATTGAACACAGAAGGACTGGAAGAAGCATTTGCAGAGACGGTATGGATGGGAGGCTAGGACACCAAGATGGTGACCAGAACCTCCGTCTCCTAGCACTCTCCTTGTTCTGTGCCATTAGTGTAGCAACCACTCTACATGACCATCCCAACCTCGATGACGCTTTGGGAAGTCACCCACGAGTCAGCTATAGATGCTGTGTTGACTTTACATCACGGCGAGTAGGTTTCCGATGTCGTCGTTATGATGTATCTACAGTTGGGTTGGTCTGGAGGCTTGTATTAACAATTAACCATCTATATCGATGAACAGCAAGGGAAGCATATCATGCCCCAACCAACAACCTTAGCGAAAATTTGCCCCAAAACAGTTATCAACTAGGGAGTTGAGCAAGAGAGCTCCTTCAAGTTCCAGCACCGTTGCTGTCTAGGCACTCAACAAAGAGGGTAAATTTGTTCGCGCAAGTTGCCAATCTCTATGGCAATATTGCAGATTCATTCATTGGTCACTTTATAGCGGAACGAAATTGGAACAGTAAATGAAGGATGACGTGGATTCAATAACCCCTCGGCTACCCACTACAAGCATTTGCCTTCCATAGCATTTAGATATTATCCCTAGCTAAACAAATATCTCCTGAAGTCACGATATTGGAAGCGAAGACGACGAAGATAATGCAATTAGGATGCTACACCACTACCAGGAGGACGATTAAATGACGCGGAGGCCAAGAGGTGTGGGGATTACTGTGAACTATATAAACAAACAAAAGGGTTGTATCTAGTAAAGAAAAAGCCAGTTTATCTGGATTTCTAATGACCTTCACTGTTTCCTGATTATATAAATTTATTTTGTGCTGTTCTTATTCGGGAGGGAAATGGTGCAGTCCTCACTGCCGAATGAGTGGGTGTACTTTTGCAGTGATAAGAATCGTGAAGCATCGGCTTGGAGAGAATAATAAATTTAATCAACAAAAATTTGAACGTCGGAAACGCTACTTTGATATTCGACAACTAATCGAGGGTATAAATTGGTTAATTTTCCCGGAAAAGCATTTCGTGATGACTTTGAAGGGATTAGGGACTTCACTGTAGGCGAAAGATGACGTAATACTTGGGTGGGATATGTATTGCCGATGTACAGAAGGGCTGGGGAGTCGGGGCTACTGGTATGGCCTAGAGACCATGTCACCGGGAGGATGAATAAAAACCAAAACAAATAGTTGAACAAATGAACAAAGTATTGTTTAGCCCCCATCCCATCTTTGTCGTCGTCTCCTTTGAGCGCTGTCCATGGTCAACCTCCTATGCTGCCCACTAGAGCATAGTCGGCAAAACACCCACCAACCAACCGCGCCAGTCTTCGAATTTGCGTGCAAAAAAGAATAGGTCTGACCACAGTGTCACTGATTTCCTCTTGGCAATTTCACTGGATCCAGAGTTTTATCCTGTCCTGAAGGCGTATTGGGAGAAGGGGTCGAATGTGCTGACCATCTCGCACATCCATCGCTAGTCGTAAGAACACTGACCTACTAGCAGAGTCATGCAATAAAGGAAGAGATTTAAACTATTACTGGGGATAAGGTTTTACGTCTGTTCCCTCTTGCCACTTTGCTCTCACTTCAGTGCTGCTCAGCCACATCTGCCTATTTAGGTTCTATCCAGCTAGTAGAGGGGTGGAGGAGGCATTGCTTGTTCACTTAGTCGACAGCTTTAAACGGGTACAGTAGACACCTCCATAACGAATTCTTCCAGATGATTCACGGACACGTCTAACGTCGCTTAAGTTGGTAGTAGCATTCCTGCAGAACGTAGGACTGGGGTGGTTGCTAAAGATGGGCGTCATTTTTTACTCTTCTGGTGGGGCTATTTGCAGATTCCTCCATTCGTAGCACATGCCCTTCTTCCTTCACGCTAGGGTTTACCATTCAGGTTTGAAAATCAAGGTAGTATTCCTCTATGCTCAGATTTTGCTTTCCCCTAGCACTATTGCAGCGCCTCCGGTCTTTCCTAAAGATGGAAGAAGACATAATACTAGAGCAGAATGTAAATTTCGCCCGGTAGAAGTACCATCCCAGAGCCCCAAGTGTTCTTTAAACCAAAATGAAGTGCTATGCGATTAATCAAAGTATTACTGAACAAAGTATGATCCGAGACTTAAAATTTCATGCACTCTCGTAAACTAGAAGAAATCTAGTCTGGTGCCTTTGTCAACATGCCTAAAATGGAGTCAAAAAATAAATGTCCCTACGACAGTTAATTTTGATGGATATGGTAGTCATGGTAACTTGGTGGGGCGTTCGAAAACGCAGCTGTGAGGCGTAAATTCAGGAAAGAAGAAATCGATCTATCAAAGGTAATTTTTTATGAATCCTTAAAAACAAAGGTAATATATCCTACACCTGCCTGCGTTGATAAAAGGTCTAGTGGCTTCCTCTCGATCTCAAAGTTCGACTTGATCCGCAAAACATCCAGATGAAATGACAAGTTTCATTGTAGAATAGTTCATCTATTTTAGAATGTCTTCCAGCTTCCCGCTGGAATTAAGAAATAAAAATTAGTGCTGAACTCATTAACGCCCAATTCTTATTTGTATAAAGCCATTTGTTTAACTATTTAACTGGTTACTCTTCAGTTCCCATAGTCGTGGATCCGCAGATGACCGTGGACCTCGACAATAGTGCGGCTTTGTTTAGTCCTTGTGAAGATGCCTCAATGATAAGCAAACCCCAATTTGACCGATATTGTATGGAGCTTTATGCTTATTGTAGCGTCCTGACACTTTTCTCAAGACGAATGAAGTTATAGCTCTCGGTCAGAATGTGCACTGTCGGTCTACTGAAGGGCTTGAAGGCCACTGGCCTGGCCCAAAGGTCATGTTGTAGGGCAGAAGTGCAATCACGCAATCGTTGTGCAAATTTGTGCTGGTCGACTCCATTCCCACTCTTTTATAATAATTTACTTTCATCACTTGCCTTCACTCATGGAGTCACCAGTGCTTTCATTTGTGAGGTATTGGAGGGCACCCACTTCACAGGTTTGTTGTTGTCAGTGTTTTGTCGGAATGGACACATTAACCACGACAAACCATTAAAAAACAACCAGCTTGGTTTTTTCACTTAACTTGTCCGCTGTCTGTTGGTGTGTTCTGCTGTCGTCTAAACTGTTGTGTAATACTCTGATTGTTTATTTAACTCTCACATGACAACAGCGGTTTCAGACTCCGTGATTGTACTTCCACTGGGTTTCATGGCTTTCGGGCCGTGTCAGTCTTGATATTATGGCTTCTTTCGACTTTAGACAAGACTCGGGTTGCTACATTGATGCTAGAGAAAAGCGAAACTCGAGCATAAAGCAAAACTACCTCAATTACCTCTCCTGAATGCCAAACCTTGACGCGATGGAAGAAGGGCAAATGCTGCGGATGGGAGGACCTTTGGTCACTCTTAACAAAGGGGTTGAAAATGACGTTTATCTTCGTCTACCATCAGTCTTGAGCTCTGCAGGATCGCTATTAACAAATGAAGGATTTAAAAAGCTCGTTAAGGAGGTGTCTATGTTACCTGTATCAAGATGTCAATAAAGTGTGAATGTGGAGCATCCCTCATCTCTTTACTAGCTGGACAGGTCTTAGAAAGATATAGCTGGACAGTACTGAAGTGGCAACAAAGTGGCAGGGAGGCACAGACACAAAACTTCATCCTAATAAAAGTATTTTAGTGTACTTAGGACCGGTGATGGATATATAAGATGGCCAGCACATTCACTCCTTTCCTCCAATCCATTTCCCATAGAGGGTGAAACCCTAGATCCAGTGGAATAGCCAAGAGGACTCAGTGGCGTTGGGTGACTAGAACGGTTGGTTCACTGGCGTTTTTCTTATAGTATCAACTATGTTTAAGTGGTCGGCACAAGAGATTGCCCAAGGAGAGCGCCGGGGACGAAGCTGTAGCGAGAGGAGGGCTGTGTAACTTTATTTGATTCCGTCTTTGTATTTTTGTTGGAGGGCACGTCCTCCAAGCCCTTTAAGCAGCCCCTCTGCACATCAGAAATACGTTTTTCGTTCTTAAGTTATGACTTTTTTTGACTTAGGGTGCTATACAAGCCCATAAACAGCAGGTTACGCAGTTTCCTGCATATCCAATCTACTTTCTCAAAAGCAGCCCCAATAAATGACTTTAAGTTTTACTTTTGTGACCAAGTGAAATTCGGACAAATTTTTGACTACTTTAAACCGCTTGGTCTTTTTCCCCTGTCAAGCAAGGTAGAGGCACAAGAACGGCTTAATTATTAACCACCAAAATGCGTGGGTATACCCTCCTCATTTCAAAGAAGGTAGAGGCTTAGTTTGTGTTTTTAATCCCCTAATTAAAGGGTAAAACTTGACAAGAAACGAAAGTAACTTATTTTACTTTGATGCCGGCAAAAATTAGGAAGACCCGCTCTTAAGGGTAAGGCAGTAATGCCACACAGAGAAGACACTATTCGGGGCTGCGTTTGTGTTGATCAACTTCAGGTATGCCCTTGAAAGGCGATAAGTGACAATTTTTACAACAACTAGGAGGCCAGATTTATGAGGTCGCCTAGCCTGGGTGCTCTAGTATTCATTTAAGGAAAGGCGGTAAACGGTACTAATCGTGAACTTAATCGTGAGTGACAGAAAAACTTGTTTACCGGGTAACTTCAAGACAGGTTGGACTTAGAGCAGGTGTTCCGGACACAGACCGAGCATTGGCAGGAATGAACGGTGAGTATGTGGGCTGGGAAAGGGCACCATGAACGAGACAGTCTTGCTGTTATGAGGTAAAAGTCTTCTGTGCAAGTTGGTAGCCGGAGCGTGGTTTTTAGGTGTCCTTTCACCAAAAGCTTCGTTCATCAAGCTGTCCCACTTGATTGTCATTTTGATTAGCGGTGTCTGAAGTCGACTAATTCACCGGTTATTATTAGTACAAAATATTTGGCGCTTATCACTTTCTCCAAAACCGCCACAGAGATCCAGAAGTACCGATGTGACTTGAACGCCACTGACTACGTAAGCAAGTTGGGCGAAAAATCACTTCCTTAAAACACTTATTACCAATTTACTGATAAAGATCCATGAATTCGGATTGCTTCCTTGCCTATTAAGCTTTTGAACCTCGAGAAGGAGCATTCCGCTCCCATAATATCTTCCAAATCGCCATCCGCGTGTATTCAAGATGAGAATCTAAACTCGATCTAAAAGGTGGCGAACCCCCTCGTGAAATGCTTGCATCGCTTTGAGGAGATAAAGTGTCAAAACGTGCCAAACCAAGCGATTTACTTGATACTCCACACTTCCGAGGGATCATGCCATTTCACACTTAGAATGCGTGTATGATGGACTGCGGACACAGCTATTATTTTATAAACTGTCCACTCGATGAAACCCAAAAATTACGGTTGGGATCGTACCGATGAAACTCGAGCCTGTAAACGGACAACTTCTTCCGTGAAAAAATCCTGAAACAGCGCTCAGGCGAATGAGAAGGAAAATCATCAAAACTTGCGTGCCTAAACGTCCTTGTCGTTTTCCTATGATTATTATCTTTCGGTGGCCATCACAAAGCAATTCAGTGGAGAAATCAACTGCAAATCAGGGACGTGTAGATGACTCCATACAACAGGTGACATTAGAATGTCCTACTTTCCTCCTCTCCTAAAAAGCTGCCAAAAATCCCTTCAAATTGTTGGATATGTTTCATGATGTCTAGGTAGAAAAAACATTGACATAAGGGAGCACGCCTGACTTGGAATAATCCACAGGCAAATAAGCGTATCTGTGGGGAGAGACCTCCCAGAATTCGAAAATAACTCCTCCGTTGGGTTGCATCTTAATCATTAATACTTCACAGTAATTATGGTGGTAAATGACAACTTATTTATCATAAAGCCAAGCCGCAATTTTTCACGAAGTCCCAAACTAATGCCTCCTATTTCTTGGCTATTTGAATAAACATCGTGTGAAACACACCTTTTAGGTCCTTTCATCCCCTGATACTCTGGCAATTCGTGGAAGTGGAATTCCACGGCGGGCAAGTTCTAAATCCCCTGCTTACGACCTGACCCATGCCGCGCAGGCAGACATGCTCCACACCGCCCCTTCATTTATCAGAAATTTGTAGATTAATCAAAATTCGAAGTAAAGTGCCTTTCAAGAGAAGCACAGGGCTCCAAGCTAGAACAAAGACATCTACACACAGTGATTGATGAAGAAACGAAAGAGGAACTAATGGATCTGCACTTGGTTCACAGGATTTTCGCGTAACCAGTGATCCAGTACAAATACAAAGCATCTTAAAAGATGACAGCAATTCCAGACAAACTCAGACAGATAGCTGGACCCCGTCAAGGTAGCAAAGGTATAAAAGAGAGAATAAACTTTACCTTACTTTGTGAAATCTAGACAAATACCATTAGAGGATGCAATTGACACAAAAATATCCTAACTTCCTGACATTGTTAAGCCTTCAATGTTACAGTTTTAAAGGGGTTCCTTTAGGTGGAAATCACTTGAAATCCAGGATCTTGGATCCATGATCGGTGTCACTTTTGCCCCGACATCATGAGCGATACCAGTTACATGAGCTACGTGCTTCAAACAAGATACAAGTATTCGGCAAAGCCGATTAATCAGTGATCCCTTCCTTTGTAACTACTAAAATAAAGCCAGTGATAAAATAGTACTTCCAAAAAACCGACGAGAATTCACCTCACGCCGATACATAAGACAAGGCGATGTGGTAACTGTGAGCGTCTACACAGATGACTGAACACTTGTTCCAACAGGATCGACAAATTGTCATACTATTCTGGTTTTTATCGAAATAGCAAAAAAGTAGACACTTTAGGAAGGTTTGTGGATAAAGTGGCTAACGACGAACTAAACCTGAATTCGAGATAGTCTCTTAGCAACATTGAAAATGGAACACAGTAGCAACTACTTCAACGAATGAAATACTCCAAGGAGCCCATTTTGGGTGCTGAATTCTACCAAAACATTGCACCCTACTTGGCGCAGTTATAGTAGGATTATTTGGATATCGTTAGGTCTCGCAGCACCCAAAGCAACCGAGTCACACTAGAAAACCTTACTGATATACCCTTCTTAAGTTGCTCCCTTGTGAAAAACATCCCAGAATGATGAATAACCCAGGGTATCCTGCTCCCTTGAATACCTTGTGTCAGAAGCCCAGATTCAACCACGCAAAAAAAGACAAGCTAGAACGACATAGAGGAATTAAGCAATCCACTCTCCACTCAAAATGGTCCCGTTTTATCTAGCGAAGCAAGATATCAATCAAACCTACTAGTGCCTGCAAAAAACATGGCAACCCGATTAGAAGACTACTGCGGTGATAGAGGAGCGTAGACATTTCGTAACGTACAAGAACAAATACGAACACTACTCCCCTTATTCCCCCCCTAGATTAACAGACATCCAAACCTACTACATCATAAAATCTAATATATTCATTACTTTCCAAACAGCCTATAGAAAAAGAGCCTCTTCAGCACAATATGGGCACAAGTAAGGTAGAAAAAGCCAAAAACCATAATGAAGATGAAGCAATCAATGATGCGTCGCCTCGACAGCTGTCCACCCAGTCGCGCCGAAACCTTTAATTGTCCACCCATCTCCTTTAATTCACGCAAATTCTCCTCCACCTGGTTAGAGGAGTTATCCACCAACTCAGCGTTGGCGTTGCCACGGGCTACCTCCTCGGCCAGACGGCGGGCGTGCAGACGCATATCAGTGGTGAGTTGTAGGGAGGCCTCCAGCTGGTTGTGAAAGTCACTGTCACCGCCAAAGTTAGAACTGCGGTAGGGGTTGGAAAGGAGAGCGCTGCGCTCTGAGATCTCAAGACTCTTGCTGGTGGTGTAGATTGCCTTCCTAAATAACTCCTAAAGGTTTTACAATAAATTCTACATTTATCAACAGCGTGATGTTCCAGAAAAGAGTATGGCCGCCTTCATGCAACGTAGACATAAAGAGAGATCAATAATTCCATGCCAGCGAACAAGTAAATGTGTTAAATTAACTATTACTAACAGTACTAGCTGTGGATGGCAAACATGTGGGGTCCCTAATAGATGAGAAAGAAACGAGCCCATCGTGTTTTTCCTTATTCATATTTAATGTAATGTAACTAAAGGGAGAACTGATAATTAGCATCGTATAAAGGAGGCATAATTCCGGTATTTCCCAGCAGTGCAAATCGAAACGCCAAGGCGTAAAACTTGTACGAAGTGCCCATCTGTACTGGTTAAGCTACTGCAAAAAGGATACGCAAAAATATAAAAAAGGTCTGGCATGGACTTAAGAACAACAATGGCCCATCTTGGTGCATATGAATGCAAATATTTTGTTGAAAATAATTAGCCATTGGGAAAATGAGGAGCTTGTCAAGATTAAAAGACAACAAACCTCAACAAGAAAATGTAAGTTGCAATCTATACTCACCAAGAATGACGCATACTGGTTTTCAATAGCGTCAAGCTTTTTCCGATTCGCAGGCGTTGCAGTCAAATCAAGAATTTGATCTAGTTTCCCTATAAATGATTTTAGAGCTGACAAGTGCTTTCGACCATCAGACTGGAGGGCATCAAAACGCCTGCGCTTCTCAATAAGATTAGTTGGCTCATCCTTTATGGAGAGAATAGAAGTAACGATATCCTGGATAGATGTGCATTCGTCGACACACTGTTGATAAACGAGCCGCGTTGACATTTGAAGGTTAAAACATCTGATGACTAGGCCACCTATTCCAATAGGTTCAAGCAACTAAATTCCTAAGAATTTCTTTTGTTTTAGATATACCAAGATTTTGCAACTAAGTTTTTGCGATAAATAAGTCGCATAAAGGAGCTTTTTTACGCGGCTGAAATGCACTGGACTACTAACATTCTGTTATTTTCAAAGCGCTAGTAGGAATATCTGTCATTTTTAAACGTTTTTAATTATCATTTAAATTGAAATCTTTTTTGCGACACTTGTGGGTTAGGCATTTTATTTGTGCACGGAATATTCACGTGGATTTTATTAATATCTAAAATCCATCATGCAATGCATCGTTACTCAATTAGGAAGAGATCTTTAATGAGTGCACGAGAGGTTTTTTAGCTTCTACAGTAGCTTTGAGGTTATCAATAGGGTCGTGTTTCGAGTCTTTCTTGGATTTATAGCAAGTCAATGTACAGTAGAAAATCACGTACTATTTAATAATAGAAGATTTTGGAGGATGCTTGCATACCTCAAAGGCTATGCTACAGGTATAGAACATAGCCTACGGAATGATTTGCTTGAGTAGCTTAACAGACATTTAAACAAAACATCGAATCATTAAATAGCCCCTGTTTACTTTTGAATTTCTTTTTCCTGCCCTCCCTTAAACCAAACTTTCGTGCCGGTCGTTAAAACATAGTTGTCACTTTAAAGACCATCCACAAGTCAGCAGTATTATACATTTAACTGTATTGCCGATGGAAAGACATTTAATCCTACCGCAATTGATGCATCCAGGTGAGGCCATTTTCTATTGACTTGCACCCTGTGTTAGGATCATCGCGAAGGGGAAATGAACTAGATTTGTACTGCTTAGAACCAGTACCGGACTGTTCGTATGTCAGTCGCTGGTGGCATGTAAATTTAATATGAAGCGAAACAATATAATAAAAAGCAGGGTTAAAAAGAGCTTCACGGAATAAGTGCTGATCGTCTATTACTTCTTGCCGCTGTGTTCTCATTTCAGTGCCGCTCTGCTCTGCTATCTGGTTTCCACTCAGCTGTTGGAGGCACAAAGACGGCATCTCTTGTTCACCAAACTAATATCAGCATTTACGTGTCGCAGACAGCTCCTTAACAAACTTTTCCAGATGATTAATGGCTGGTGTAGCTTCAGCTGTAATTAGTATTACCCACAGACCATGAAAATGAGGTAATTTTTTTGGGAAGGCCTTTCATTTACTCCTCCGGTTAGGAGTCATCGCAGACTTATTCACCCGCGGCAGATGCCCTCTTTCTATCCCATTAAGGTATAGCATTTAGGCTTATAAACAAAGTAACTTCGAAAAGCTAACTCCACTATGGTAAAAAAGAATTAGGAGGCTGCTGGCATGCCATGGATTGGGGTCAAAAGCCACGGGGACTAAATGGCGAGCGTAGACAAACACACGCCAAAACAATATCAGATCACTGCATGTATACCACTTTCAAAATCTCTGTCGAACTTAATCAGTAGTGACAAATTGGGAAGAAAACCAACGACTACCTTATCCTCTTGTGACAAAGTAGCTGTGCAGGCAGTGCCAGAGATGGGAAGTGCTGACCTTGACCGGTAAAATTTGCTTGTGTTGAAAAATCCGATGACCAAAAGTGCTGAACCAGATTTATGCTCAGTTAGCTTCTTGAAATTAACATGGAATCAATTTTAAAAGAATAAATTAAATTTCTTGCTAATTATCTTTTAATTTAATAAGCGTAGACAAAGTAGCTTTCTCCTTTCAGGCATTTTGAAAAGTCGTTTTGCCTAATTAACATCAAGAGAGGTCTTGCTGAAAGTACAAAGTAATGTAAATTTTTTTTCTATGGAAAACACTAAATGATGCAGTGCCCGAGACTCCCCTTAAGATAAGAGAAGACATGGTTCCATAATAGAATGCGTGTTTTCAACCCACAGGAGGGCGCAGAGGGTAATGACATAGGCCAGGTACCAAACCACCTGGTGGAGGCGCGATGGCGGAGTCCTAAGTGGTCCACTACCTAAACTTATTTATAAATAGGCAACTAAAGTATTACATGGCTTCCCGGTGCTTCCCATGGTTAACCTCTTGCATCTACCATCACAGCGACATAGTCGGTGCCGTATTGAAAACATCAAAGGACCAGATGCACTGATCATCAAATCTGCGTGTAACTGAGAGGATTTGTTACCCCAATATCACCGATTCCTCCTGTCTATGCCACTGGATCTACAGAATTGTATTGAATTGTATTGGGAAAGGGAGAATATACGGATCATCTCGCTTGCCAACATTAGTCGCAAGACCACTAGCCAGTAGGAAGGAGGAGGAGGTACCGCATTTCCACTTCATCGACATCTTCAAGCCGGTATTGCACACGCCTACACATAGAACTCTTCCCAGTGGTATAGAGCCATAGTTAGTGTTGCTTCAGTTGTTACTAACATTAATACAGAAAACGAAACTAAGGCTGTTGCCGAATGTAGATGTCATTTTTAACCCTTCTTTTAGGAGTTGTCACAGATCCTCCAACCTGCAGCACGTACCCTTCTTTCGACACACAACGGCTTTGCGGTTATAAATGAAAATCAGGATAGTTGTCTCTTAAGTTTGGATCTGTTTTCCACTGCCATTAGTGTAGCGCCCTAAGTCTTTCCTGAAAACGAGAGAAGACACAATACTGTTTTGCCGAACTATGGATGGTCTGAGTCTACTGAAACAGTCTGGAAGCCATGCAGAGCCTTAAAAGCCCACAAAGTCAAACCGAAGCATTAAATCGTAAACAAAGTATTTCAATACAATATTGGGATTCAAATGTCACACATATGTGACGCTGGTTGCAGACGTTTTAAGGTAGGAAAAGCCTATAGTGTCGCCACTTTACATTTAACATTCAAAGAAGTTCCAAATCTCATTTGCCTATTATATTCTCCATTTGAAAAGGAGGAAAATTTAATGAATATCTATGTTAAATTAATTTTCCAATTTCAAAAGTCGGGAATCATGATTCGAAGAGCTTGTTTGTAGAAGTCCTATTTACTTGCCCACAGCTTCCTAAAAACAATTGCATGTAGAAACATAAGGTATTTGTTTTCCTACAAGCCCTAACTCGGAGGGCCAATTATCTCTTTTATTTATTACTTTCCCCTTTGTCGGTGTTGTTTTAAGTAGTTAGGTCCTTTTTAAAAATTCTATATGGGAAGGTTTAAGGTTTAAAGTTAACTGGACGCCTTTACCGTTTTAAAATAAAATGCCGGAAATTAGTGATACCTCTTGATCAATTCCTGAAATCGTAGTAAGGCACAGGGGGACCTGGTGGCTACAGGTCTGGCAGAAATCCAGTCTAAGGGCCTAAAGTGACACCACTGAATGCGCTATTGAAATAAATAAATTCCTCCACTTTTTTTCCAATTTACTCAAATCCCGTTTCTCAAGGCAATTTTCAGCAGAACTATCACATCTCTTCCTCAGTCTTAATCTTCATAATATTTCCACCGAGGAAAGCTCAAAATCTCCATCGCTTAAAAAATTAGGATTAAATTTATTTCACTGCAGTAAATACCAAATTAGATGGTAAAAAAATCTTAAGAAAGGCACATTATTTACGGACAGTTTTTATCAGTTACCAGACGGAATGGGTCACAAAACACTTTCCTGCATCGCCTACAAAGAGGGGAAAAACAGACGAAACTTCCTCTTTTACCTTCCGACATCTTTTCTGGTTGTTAGTGGGGTCCTCCAATTGTCTGCTTGTCCAACGGCCCCGGCATGTCAGCCTTGTGATTTTTTGTTGTACACAAGAAGTCGGAATGTGTTTCTGGAAAAAGTGTTTCCTTTTTATGGTCAGAGAATACTCCTCTTACATTGGAAGGAGGAAGGCAGGAAGGTAGATTAAGCTTTGGTTGTACACCTTTCATTTGAAGCTGATCGTCAGTAACTCACCTGTCCAAATCACTACAATATTTAGTTTTCACAGTCTCGGTCATAATACGGCACCCTTGTCAGACCCACAAACCCTCCTAGAAAGTTGGAATCCCTTTCTCCCTCAAAGAATACATTTTTAACCCGGAAGCTGAACTAGTGGTAATGATGCGGAATCGCAGTCGGTCGATTTGTTGGCTTCCCTTGTAGATAGATACATCTTGGAGGACTTAGTAATATTGATACAAAGGTGGATCAACTTAAGGCAATCCTTCTAATCCTCTTACATATAAAACGGCTATTATAAATGCAATGGATTTCCACTTGGAGGAAACTTGAATGTGATTACCGCAGGGTAACAGAGGGAATCGGTAACTATGAGTTACATATTACGTTGTTTTATCTGCCTCCAATCATCGTTATTTTACTTTTCCTTTCAAATGCAATTCATTGCCTTTTAAGCAAGCGCGTCACAAATATGTGACACTGGTGGTGAATGCAGTAACATAATACTCGTAACAATGGTTTTCAATGTGTTTGCGCTTGTCAGTGTGCCATAAAAGTAGTAAGCAAAAGTGAAAATTAATAAATGGGAGGAAACCGAAAGAACATGATGTAATTGGAATGAGGCACGGAGCCACATCAGTTAAAATGGAGCGGTACATACACAAACGTCACATATCTAAGATTAAGCCAATGTCCCGCATAGTTTGCTGTTATACTGTAATGCTTTGATGATATGTTTTGCTCTTCATCTTGGTTTAGTGGGCATTTACGGCCCCACTTTGGCACTTCCACGGGACGGCATGGTCTCCGGATCATGGCATCAGCACCCAGCCGTTCTAAATGTCGGCAACTACATAACCTGCCCTGATATTATGACTTCTTTCGCTTTCTTGAAAGGCTTGGAATGCTACACTGGTGGCAGTAAAAAACGAACCCAATCCTAAGGGGCAGCTACTCCGATTTCCATTCCCGATAGCCGAACCTTAACGAGTCTAAAGAAGGGCATGTGGTGCAAGTGGGAGAATCTGTAACGACCGCTAAAAGAAGGGTTAACAATGACGCCTACATTTGGCAACAGCCTTTGTTTTGTTTCCTGTATTAATATTATAACAACTGGAGCAACACTAACCACGGCTATGGACGGACGAGTTCTCTATAGAGGCGTCTGCAGTACCTGTATGAAGATGTCAAGGAAGTGAAAATGCGGTACCTCCTCCACCTCCCTACTAGCTGTACAGAACCCAAATAGCCAGATGTGCCTGGACAGTACTGAAGTAAAAACAAAACGGTTAAACTTTATTTCCAACAAACTTTTTAAATCCTATCCTTTACTACATAACTGCTTTTAGGCCAGTGTCCTAACGACCAACGATGGACATACGAAATGGTCCGCACGTTTCCCCTTCCCCAATCCAATTCCAAAATCGGACGAAACTCCGGTTCCAGTACCATGGTTAGGAGGAGTCGGTGAAGCCGCGGTAACAAATCCTCTCAGTTACACGCAAATTCGGTAATCGGCGCATTTGGTCCTCTAGTGTTTTCAATACGGAGCCGACTACATCGGTGCGATGGTCGATGAGGGAGGTTGGCCATGGGGAGCGCTCGAAGGGGACAACATTCAAGAGAAGATGAAGCTTTGTAATTCTATAATTGTTTTTTCCCCATCCACCATCCAAATACCTCGGTAAATAATCGCTTCCAAAATATGTACAGGAATGTACACCAATGATGGAAAGACGAAGCCAATGTGCACTTTAAGGTAGAGGTAACCATCAAAATGGGATTTCGGTATTCTATTTAACCCAGCACCTTCACTCCGAGAGGTTTAAGTAATGCAAAGAATGTCATTTTTAAACAAAGTACGTTTTCATTTTAGAATAGTAGTTATTATAGAACAACTTTCGATTTTCATTTTCCTAAAAGCGATATAAATATTGGACGCACTTGTGTTTATCGCGTTTGTCAACTGGGCTACTTCATTGTCAATGTCACAAATTAAGTGTGTTTGCATTACCTCCGTTTCTACAGTAATGGGATGCCATTTTAGCGTTCCGAATCCTTTTTTTACAGTCGAGGGAAGTCATGTTACCAGGTCAGGACATGCACTGCCGACGTACAAGGCCTCCTGCAAAGTGTTAACAACACCAGCGATAAAGGAGGAAGGAGGCTGATGCGGTGATTTTAATTAGTAATTCATTAGTAGCAGTGAGGACAGTCGGTTGGATGAGAGTCCTCGGAGGAATCGCGTCCCCGGAGGGTAAATTGTTTAAGGTTAAAGTTAATTCGGGAGACAATTCTCAAGGTCGAGATGTGTGATAGCATGGGTGTATTCTCTTTTGTGATTGGTTTTCATTAAAAAACACATATAGAGGAGTTTCGTGGCCTTAGAGCATAAATGCTCTCGACCTGATTGCACTACAGCCATCGCAAGTCATACAGCAAAACTGGAGGCTGGGATGATTATCCAAAGTAGACGTCGATTCAATAGTATTTCTCCTGTAAATCTATGCAAATTTTTTCTTATTCTGTAACACTTAAACATGAATTTTCACTCACTGTAGTCAGGTCTGCTTACCAGTGTAACCACTTCAGCACCTCTAGTCATCCTCGAGGATGCAGAAGTGAGGAAACTGTAGAGAAACTCAGAGACTGAAACCATAGATGAGGTATCATGAAGTCAAGTTCCTGAGATGAACCATGAAGAATGGTGAATTCACTTTGAAAAATGCATCATTAAAATATAGTTGGCTTTGCGCAAAGATTCAGCCGCATATATCCCACATTGTAAAGCATGAGTGGATATGCGGCTGTCTATTGATACGGTACAACGCAGTGCTTCTTGTTGGGATCGCTACTTCCTTCCTCCTACTTTCATCGCCTAGATCATAGGGAGTCTACCGAACCCTGAGCACTTGATTTGAGCTCGTCTGACTTATAAATCAACTTTAACCAGCTTCAAAACCGTGGAAGTTTGTTTTATTCCCAATTCGTCACAGTACATTTGGAGAAGGTGTGATATGGTGTGCGGTGGCGAAACTAAGCACTCAAAAATGGTTAGATATTTTTAACATCGGTTGTTAGCCGCTCGAATAAAGATAAACCACGTTTAGGAAGATCCTGCCTACTTCAAAATGATGGGTAATTACTCATCGCTATTGAGGCGTGAAAACGACTGTCAAAAGCGAGATGTAGGGGGATAATACAATCTTACCTATTTGAATACAATGAGAAAATCGCGCGGGCTAAAAAAGTCTGCGCCACATGCTGCGGACTGCCACTGGAAGGCAATAAAGTAGGAAATTTAGCTCTCTTTTATATACTTTTGAAATGCGTTGAAGAAGCGCACAACCTATTTTAGAAAGTCTGGTGACTGTCCAGAAGTGAGAAATTGCTTTTTTATGTTTTAATACAGACCTAAGTAAAGTTCACTTCTCTCGAAGACTGTCTTTTGTGTACGTTGGTTTGCGGTTTAGTAGCAGGGGACTGAAGACGTTCGAGTACAAGCAGCGATCCCCGCTTAAACCTACTTGCTAAAATTCAAAAGAGTTAAAAAATTGATAACGAAGTCGGAAGCTTAACATTTTAAATTAAAAGCATGATTTTCTGCCCCTATAGCGCAAAACAGCCCCATTTGAATCCCTGCCCTGTAGGAGAGATAGAATAGAGTGGAATAGGAGGGAGCTACTACATTACCGCATTTTCTGTGCTGCTTTAATAAAATCGCCTCAGGTGATGATTGTCACATCTCCTTGACGTTGACATCAAACAGCCACGTAATCACTTGCAAAATTGCGCAGTCAATTCGGCGAGAAAAGTATGGCAGAGACAGCAGTGGTGAGACTTGAGTTTTTACTGGCAGTTCATTGCAAATGGTTATAAAGTAGGATGGCAAGCATAGTAAACAAGAAAATTTCAAACAAGTATTCAGCAATTGCGTGGCTTTTGTTATAAACAAGCGGTATGTTCTTATTTGGTCACCTTAATCAATACCGCGTTGGACGTATTGCAGGACGCAAATTCATGGGAAGTCAACTACCTTAAGCCCATCAAAAATGTAGCTATAGCGTTTTAAATATTAATTTTGATTAAGCGGGACCTATTTGTTATTTCAATTTACCCAGTAAGCCGCACGATTCTTTTAAGTCTTCCGTGATGGTGAAATGGGACGTCATTTTTGATACTCATCCTAGTGGTCTTCACTTCTCCGTTTTACCTCCACAACAAGGGTTAATTATGCAACATTAGTCACACTGTGGTGTTATATATCACACGCCCTGTATCCCTTACAAATACTATTGGGTTTTACAGCTGCTTCATGGAGAGATCTAATACAGGTTACCGGTGCTACAGGTCATAATAACTCATGCCAGTGTGAAAGTAGATTTAACATTGGCCTACAGGAAGGCTGAGAGGCTAAAATTACGGCCGAAAGGCGAGGCTGCCGTGCAAAAGTACAATCTAAGGCGACTGTCGATTCCGCGTAGCTAAACATGCATTTTCCAACAGAAGTACAAACTCTAGCACATGAAGCGTTCGTGTAGTTGAACGTACATGCAAGTAAATTTCAAGTTACTATATTAGCGGCCAAAAAAAGTTATTTTTAGACACTATGGGTCATTGAAGCTTTTCACTTTAATGTATCAACGACTGATTACTGACATAAAGACTACCTGAAAGGCTGTGAACATGGTTGTAAGGCCATTCTATCGAGGTGAAGCACAAATTTCAGTGACTAATTAGGCTGCATGGCAGTGTTGTCGAAGGCCAACATGAAAAAGTTCGCTGAAATCTTCTACTTTAAAAAGAAAGTATCGCAGGCGAAGGAATTGACTACCCATAAATAGTTAGCCTCTGCGGAAACTTATCGGACTCACTTTGAGGAAAACCTCGATACTTTTGTCTTTGTCACTTTTATTCTGAGGGACTGGAGTAAACCTTATCTTGTAAAAGCGTGCTGACTTCTAAACAACCTCACGGTTGCATTGGCTGGTGGCCTTTTGAAATTTTGGGAACAAATGAGTTGAAATACTTACTTGCAAGGTTGTGTCTCAGCCTACTCCGCAGAAAATGTATCCACGCAGTGCTAGCAATTCAACCTACTCATTTTATTCGTAATTACAACCTACGATGATCACGCTTTTCCGCTTGTCTCACTCTCTACGCAGTTCAGCACTGTATGATCAGGTGAAGAGAGTGGGCTTTTGTGTATCAACTTCACTCGTGTATGAAAGTGAAAAGGTGGCAAATAATTTGGCTAGTTGCCTCGTGTTTTCTGACTGGTTGGTGGCTCCAAATATAATGCAAAATTCCAGAGTGGGACCTTTTTTAAGAAAAGTATTTAATGCGAACAGACAGTCACTTGCAGTGGGTACATTACTGCTTGGGTAAGGGAAACTCTCAAAGGTAGGAAATTATTACTTATTAATTGTCATGCATATCTGGGTCAGTCTCATAGTAGGTCGGCTTGTACATTCGAAGTACTAAAGTAAGAGCAGAACTTAACACTTGGGTAGAATTGGTATTAAAATTTTTTTAGCAAATTGCCTAGGTTGTAAAATTATTTTCTTTTGGGTTCAAAAACAAATACCATTTTTCCCCCTAGAAATGTACTACGGTTCACACGTGACCACAGCCCCCTTTCCCCTAGGCAAAATGCTTCGATTGAACCATAAAACCGACTTAGGAAAAGGATTTTAGAGGCATTGAAAAGAGTTTAAAAAAGACTTTTGTCATGAAGGTAAATAAAAAATGCCATAAATTTTTACGGGGATATTTACTGTACCATAATCATAAAGAAGAGAATGGCTTTAATCCCAGACAGTAGTGTAGGGGAGCTTTGGAAATCATGGGGGATGGACGTAAACGGAATAAAGTGAATTTTTGAGAGTGCTAGTTTAAATTAGGCACCAGGTTACAGTGAGGAAGAATTATTTGTCCTTATTTTCTTTTCAGCATAATGACTATTCTTTGGAGGGAGGAGGAGAAATTCAAATTCTTGGTAATTAACTTGCCGAAAAGTCAGCCAATCAGCGAAGCGTTCTGACGTATTCCAGTGTACTACTTTCATTGCTTGCTTAACCCTCGGTTTTGGTAACAGGCCGCTTACCGCTCCTCCTTAGTACCTCCACCGGGTGGCCCAGCCTCCTATACAACTCGGCGGTTCTGGGCATTACATATTCTGCCCAAGAATAATGTCTGATTTTGTCTTCTGGGGAGTCTCAGAGTGCTCCACCACGAATATTAAATGAGGCGACAGAAATAACTCTCCAACGTCGGATTCCAAAAGAGTTAAGCAAAAGTTTCTCAGTCATTTCGCAAAATGCTTTTGTTACTACCAGTTTATTTTTCAAAAAAATCTCATTGGGGGATGAAAGTGAAGCATCGTTTTAGGGTCTCCATTAAATGATTGTGTATTCTGTCAAGTCAGCTCTCCAGAGGCTGCATTGCCATCTGCTTGTCCTTCTTCATTGGTAGCAGTGAGTTTCCTTTTAAGTGGGTATGGGCCTTTACACCCCTGGAGGATGGCCGACGCTGATATGGTGAGAGCGGTGAAAAACCAGCCCGTTTTAGATGATTTTAGAATCTTGGCTTTTGCAAACTAGATACACCATGCCCAAACGTCAAGAAATGACGACATCTAGTAAATGTGAGAGAATCTTCCGGAACCCACAACAAAAGGGCACCGAAAACTACTTAGACTTTTGCCAATTTCCCCTATCTCGAGTCTCTCATGATAGTCAGTCCTGTCCACAGCATCGCCATGAACTTGCTTAGTCTCTAGAATCTACACACCTATCTATTCTTCTCTGATATACATCTGCCTAAGAGTAACCATTTAGGTCTTCAGTAAGTACTGCTATCAACATTTAATTTCCCAGGTATCACAGGAGCTTCTGAAATGTTTAAAGAGGTGGCATTACTATGGGAGCCTAATTTTTGTCTTCAACTTTCTGATGACTTAATGTGTTTGGCTACCTTATAAATTATTTCTACTGTCGCAAGTCTCTCCTTGAAACGTATTTAACCGCGAGACAGGGGAAGAGAAATGGTTGACGTAAGGATTTTGTCGCCTAAGGAGAATGTCCACTACCTCAGAAGGGACACTACATACAGTGTAGTTGGCAGTGATTATGAAGTATCGCATCCTCTACAGAACTAACGGTATTAAGAAACAGAATGGTCCTTAGGAAGCATATTTCGTATACCGATCATATTTAATAGGAAAATTGGCCCCAAGGTAAAATGGAAATGTTCAGTATCTTGTCCTCGAACTTATGCATAGATTGTCCTTCTCCGTCATTTGTCGGCAATATTGTATAAATGTCAGAAGTGGAGGCGGTTTTAGTGGTTATTTCCCTCATTATGTGATCCAGAAGTCATCGAGATTGTTGGTTGCTTAAAGTGACTTCCCTCATAGCCGACGTCAGTGCACCATTCGAAGTCATCCAAAATGTGTGATGGAGGAAGTTTTGCTGTTAATTTCGAGAAGTTTTGGATGATGATCCTACTGGATGATAATTATTGCCTTGGCTATAAGACTCAGAAGGTTGTGGGTTTGATAGTCAATGATATGGTACCGTCCCTATGCTCTGTGTTACCGCTCTTGTCTCAAATAATGATCGTGACATGATCAAGTGGAGAATAGATTTATCCTCTCGTTTGCTTGGCATCACCCAGCTTTGGTGACCTTGGTCTAGCCTAATAGCTTGGTATACCCTTTTTCTCCAATTAGACTGTAAAGCCCGTAGAGTTGCCTGTTACTACAGACTGAGGCCTGACTTTTGCTTTCTGTGAAAAGAAACTTTAAGGAAAATTGATGTTGAAGGAATGACAATAACTAATGCGTTCTTACACGCTGATGAATGGGAAGGAAGGAGTTGCCGTCGGTCTCAAAATGGAAGGGGGAAGGAGGAGGGAGAGAGAGAGCAAGTAGGAGATTAGGCAATTAGGAGAGGTGGGGTGGGAAAGAAGGATGAGTGATAACCCACTGAACAGCCATTAAGCTCGATGCTTCCATTAGGCGGAAGTCACATGTGTCTCTTCGCATGGAAGTTCATTCAGTCACTATTAAGCAAAAAATGGTGTACCAGTCGCCCCATTTATCCCACATATAAATTGCTTGGTCCCTTTTTAACGAAGTTTATTTTATTCTGAAAATTATTTATTTTTTGTAATGAGATAGGATCGGTGGGTTTCCCTCTTCCACCTCAGCCTTCATACCTTCAAAACGAGCAGACGAGTGACACGAAGACATGCCTTGTTGGGTAAGGGCAAATAAGGGGTTACAGATACCACCTTTTGAGCCGGTATAAGGGATGCTTCCTCCTCGGAGGTCCAATAGGATCTAATCCGCCACTGAAGTTCTCACCCACTGACCGCATCTCGCCTGAAAGGCACAGTCAGACAAATATGTATGACAGTACCTTCCCTTTTCCACTTCTTACACTGCACGACTGAGTTTTGCCAAAGGTGATTTGGTTACACAAAAATACACTAAAATAAAAAATAATTTAGATGTGATGAGAGTGAACACAACATGTAAAACGTATATTAGACTGTGCATAGAACAAAATTACGCAGAAATGATCCTTTTTACAGATAAATTCGCAATTTCACAATTAAATTGGCTTCTAATTAACAGCAAAAACAATAAAATTTACTTTTTGACCAAAGACGGAAAGTATTGAGGGAAGCATGAGCTATCGCGAGTGGCAGTACAGTCGGTGAAGTTGCGAACTCCGCAATCTGCATAAGGTGGCAAAAGGCTTTTCAGTTCTTATTTCTTGTTGAAATATTTTTGACTATTTATAAACGCTGTTAAGTGTACGGTAAAGATAAGT